GGCTAAATTCTTAGTCTAATTTTTTCTTTGTTACTGTACAGTAAATTCACTGAAGATTTGTCTTCAGATGGTAAAGGTGGTAAAGCTTCTGTATGATCTAAGAAGGAAGAATGACTAAACACATTGCATACTTTTTTTTAATCAAGAAATTTGATAGTCATCAAATCTGACATCAGTATTGGGCCATACACCTTTATCACAAATTAAAAAAGAAATAAAAAGGAGATTGTATATTTTTCAGTAGAGCTATTGTACTTCTGTTGGCATTTCTGGATGGTTGCTATGGATATATACGGTTCTAGGCAGTAGATTTTTAGGAGTGGTATAAAAGATGAGCCTCAGACTGGAATTTTGGGATATAAAGAGGTGGGTTTAGGGCAGGGATTTGATGGTTTTGGTTGGGTGTTTAGTTTTTTGGTTTTGTTTTTTGTTTTGTTTTTTTTTTTATTTAATTCTTTGGATAGAATAACCACTTATCTCCAGACTTTAAGGATTATCATCTCCAGACTTTAAGGATTAAACTGGTAAATACTTGGGCTCTTGTTTTGTTGTGACTCCTTCAGCTGGTACAGACCTTATTTTTGGATAAGATCTTACCGGAGCCCAAATAATTTAAAACTGCTTGTCTTGGGAATACTTTGAAGTGGTGGTTGTAGAAGATTAGTTGATAGGAAGACTGTGTTGAAATCTAAGGATATCACAGTCCTCCTTATCATCATGGCTTCAATCCTGTAAAATATCAAAGTGGCTCAGAAGGAAGGGGAATATATATATATATATATTTAGCTTAAAACATAAGAAGAGTCAATTCAACGGAATAGTTAATTACAAAGACATTGGTGTAAGAGAAAACCTGGATGTTAAGCTCAACTAGAACTACTTTTCTAGAGGCTTTTAGAATACTCTGGGAAGAAGGATTAATTTTGTAGGAAAATACCTTCTACTATACCTATCATTATAGGCTGATGCCTTATTCCTAGCAGCAAAACTGAGTGACTTCCCTGATTATGTTTTTATTTTCTCTTTTTTTCTCTTGGATAATCCTTCCCATTTCCTTTTGAGGCTGGTAAAGAATTCTGAACACTTCTAATTAAGCATCTGGTGCTGACAGTGATCTCTTCTTTGAATAAGAACTACTTCAGTTTATGTGTGCTTTATTTACTATGAAAGAAACCTTTTCCCAACAGATCACTGACAATCCCAACTGTAAAATGCATCAAACACTCAACAAAGGAATGTTCTACTTGTCTCCTACTTAGAATACGTATTTCATAAAGATGTTACGTATCTCAGCTCAAGTTTAATCTGCTGTATTTGCTTAAGGAACTTAGCTAAAATCTGCTGAGACAGAGAAGAGTCTCTATTCAGCTGTGGTTTCTTGCATACTCAATTCCATCTACCAGATTCCAACTGTAGGTCTCAGCGCAGCTCCTTTCAGTAGAGCAGCATGATTTTAAGTGGTACATTCAAGGATATTCCTTTCTCCCGGAAACTTGTCAAGTTGATGATTCTTTGATATTTTAGTAGGGAAACCATTGTGGGAGGTCTTGTGGTATAGCATTAGTCGTCTTAAGAAGACATAATTCATATCACTGCTCTGAGCATCAGAGCATTAATTCTTGCTTCCATGGCTTTCCTATGTAAAATATTGATTATTTAGATGAAGATACACAAACCAGTGTAATATTTTTCTATGAATAAAGAAGGAGATAGCACATCCATTCATCAGGAGATGGAGTCAGCCTCTGAAATTAATTTACAACACCAAGTGTTACTGTTCTGACAATTCCTTCTGAAGATAGGACAACATATAGTCTTTAAAAGACCTTGTTACAAGCCATTCCTTTTCAGTGTGACTTTTGTGTGGACCACGTTAAGTGAAAGGATCAGCAAACATAAAAATCTTACATTTTGGAGAAGACAGATGCCAAGCTTCTGGGGTGGACATGTTTGTAATTATGAGAGGTTCTGTGTGTCAAAGAAATTCGAGCAGGAGAAGATGTCCATAGCCAGACCATTGTCTGTGGTTTCTGTTGAAATAGTCACACACAGACTGCTAGATGTACCAAAGTTTTTATTTGCTTTAAGATTTTTATTCTTTTACTGTTTATACTAAAAAGTAACTGCCTCCTTTCAAATGGACGTATATAAGATTTTTTGCATGGTTGCTCAGCCAATTGCAGTTATTGAAGTCCCTTGCACAGCCTAGCTGGAGTAATCTGGGAAAAAAAAAAAAAAAAGAGACTGCGAATACTGTCACTTTCCATCACTTCTAGATGAGTAAAATTAAAAACATCTCTAGTGGAGTATAATAATCTAGGAAAAGCACTTAATATTGCTTTTAGGGACATTTACCATTAAATTAGGCTTTTATTTTAATGTTAAAAAATATTATACTTTCCCTAAGTATTTCCAAATGGCCTATTGTGCTAAAAGAAAAGATTGTAGAGTGTTTTCAGGATCAGAAATTTTTATGTCTGTGGAAAAAGCTAGCAACAATGCTACTTTGGTATTTGAGAAATGTGCCTCAGACTGTGACCTGTGATACTTTGAGAGAAGCTTCCATTAAATATTAACTGATGTTGCAGAGATATTTTGGAACTTGCAAAGGATTTTTTTGTGTTGCCTTTTTTTTTGTACGCTTCCTAGAATTGACCTTATATGTGATGTAAGCCTTAGAAATGACTTGAAAGTAGATAATAATACTTTCATATCTATAGCTGTTAAATTCATCCACAGCCATTAGAACACCCTTACAATGGGCACTCCTGTTTTTGCTGTTCTCACCTATTTAAAAAAAGGGTCTTTGAAAAAATTATATTCTCTTATTTCTGTTGCACTGGAGCTCCAATCTTTCATATTCTCAAACTGATTTTACTCCCAGTGAGGGTGGTCGTGCTTACTGTTCTTGCTAAGCCCTACCTAGATGTAATTCAAAAAGAAGTAGTACTGACCATTAAATCGAAACACTTTTCAGCTCTGGTCCTGTTCCAGCATGCTGTGTTCTCTTTCATGTTGGCATCATCGACAGGTTTAATAAACATAATCTCTTTTTCATCGTCAGTCTTTCAATGAAATGCAAAGTAGTATTCTACCAGAAGAAAACTCCATCCGTTCATTCTTCCTGGATGAAGCAAGACGTAAACTAATCTTTTTTGAAACTTGCTTTCCAGTCAGCACTGCATGCATCTGATAGTTGTTGTATCTAAATTAGGTTTCTGTAGATTGTTTTGCATGGTGCTCTCACAAGACATTGCAAAAACCTTTCTAAACTGAAGATAGGACATTTGTTGCTTCCCTTTTATTTGCAAGGACAGTTATCTAATTTCTGTAATGATACCGAAAAAATGTAGTGTGTTCTTGTTGAATGAATGTAGGCTATTAATTGCATCCGTGTTAGATTCTAGGTGCACGCAAGTTGTTTGCTTATGTTTTATAGGATTTTGGTGGAAGGTTCATTTTAAGTTAATTGAGCTGCAGCTCTGTGGTTGCTTCTTTTCGATAAAGCTATGTGTGGGCACAAATTTGATTAAATAGTAAATGTAGCTCACTGAATAAAAACAATCTGAAGTTAGTGCATGTGGTTTTCTCAACTTGCAAGCGTAAAGAGAAAAGAGACTGTAGAGCCAGCATCTGAGAGAAATGGTTCTCTTGAAGCATTTTGAGTATGTTAGTGAGAATTGACATTGCCCTGTTTGCCCTCATGACTCTTCTGTGGTAAGACAGATAGAGCTGCAGGAGTTACCGTGTTGTTTCTGATAAAGTAGGATCAGACTTTTTGTACTTTCTGGCCTACGCATCTTTTTGCTTTTGGCTGTGCATGGCCCAATAAACGTGCCTTTTGTTTCATTATATTGTCAGTGGTTTGTATTGGAGCTCTACCAGTGATCTGATATATGAGCTTAGGCAGGTTATTTTACCTTTCTCTACCTTCTTTTCACTGTTTGTTTTATCTAGAGTTGGCCAGTCTAGCTTTGAGCTTTATGTGGCTTGCAACAAGCATAGCTCTCATGCTGGGGCTATAAACAATTCTCAATGATATTAGGCTGGCAAGAAGACTTCTGGGTTATCGGGATCCCTAGATATGGAAAGCAATGAACTGCTAAGGGCTACCAGTATTTTTGCTACTGGGACCTGTCATATGCCCACCAGCCCACAGTGGTGAGAGCTCTAGGGACCATTCCTGCCAGTGAAACAATTTGTGTCACTGTTTCTCCTTTTGCAGCTGAGATTTTTGGTTCTTTGTTATGCCAAGATTTTTGGTACATGACTTAAAAGGTGTGAAAAAGATGGTTATTTCTGACCTAGACACTAAACAGTTTTTCAGTGACTTTGTGTTCACAAAATGCTCGCTCATCACTGTGAGACCCAACTGCTGTTGCGATGTTCCACATAGGCAGGAGACATGAAATAGTCACAGATCATGAACGTATATGTTCAGTTGTCATAGCCTCAAATACCTGATTCTGAAACTTGCTCACCTTGGAGGCTTACTGTGAGACTTTTCCACAAGGGAAAAGTAAAGATTAAAGTAGGTAAAAATGACTGGATGTTGATGTATTAAAACTAAGATTCATCCCAGGTATCTGGATGGCAGGGATTGGGAGCAAGTAACCATGTTACTCTGGCATAGGTAGAGACTTGTGACCTGCAAAATTGTACACAAAGTAGAGAATTTGATGAATTTGACTGACTAATAGATTTTATTCTAATAACACTCTCAAACCAGGACATTTTGTGTGTATGTTTTCTATCTTAAAATGAGAAAGAAGGTAGTTGGCACAGATCCTAAAGTTTCTTAGGCTGTTGTGAGAACTGCTGATCAAAAGAGAATGGGTGTCCTGCATCTTTCCCACCTTTTCTTCTTTCCCAGACTCATAAGTATTTCTTGTATTCACAAGATCTTCATTGTGTCAGTCATTTGTAGCCTGTAGAATAATGTTAGCGTTTGCTACCATCTGTAACTGCTTAGCACATTCTTCTCTTATCTTCATTTTCAGTTGTACCTCCTTGACCCCTGGACCTAGCTGTGATCGGTTTAAGCTACATATTCCTTATGCTGGAGAAACACTCAAATGTAAGTTAAAAACTATTGCTATTGCATCTTGGCCTTTCTTTCAGTGTTCTATATCGCGATAAGTTTTCCCATGTGTCTAACTAATTTTATGAGTTTTGAGATACCTATGTTTGTTGTTTTTTCTTAAAGCTTCAGCTCTAAGAACATGCAACTGTAAGAATATCTAATTTTGAAGATAAATTTACAACCTTCCTTGATATTACAGATTTGAAAACATTGAGTCCTAGAAACCAAAGTCACAACCCTCTCCCCACTCCAGTATTTCTATTGAAATGTTATGACTAAGACAATCTCATGACTATCTTTAGACTCACTTATGATTTCTATATGCTTTGTGTTGTTTCTTACTTTCTTTCTCTTTTAGGAAGAATTCTTTATTAAGCTCAGTAAAAGAAGTCAGTCTGTTATTTTATTAGGTATCTCTAAATAGTAACTGATGTAATTGACCAGATTAGAGAAATGTGACTTTGGTTTTTCTGATTTAGTGGTGCGGTTAAATCCTCCTTACCCTTGGAGGATCTGTAGATAGCTGGCTCATTTGCCCAGTCTTCAATTAGTATGTGTTCTGTTGCAAAGGATTAGAGTAAAGTTTGCTGTTGTATGTTTTTAGAAAGTAAAAACAGTTTTCTAAACACTTGAGTTGCTAAAAAACTATAAAATTGTGTTATTTTTTTATCTCTGACAAGGGAAATATGAGGGAGGATGAAGAATTTCACGTAAAATAAAATTTAAAGCTTGGCAGTTTTAGATTTAGGGCAGCACTGATGAAACCACATCTGGAGTACTGTGTCCAATTCTGGTCTACCTAGTACCAGAATGGCGTGGACATACTGGAATGAGTCCAGCAAAAGACCACAAAGATGACTGAGGGACTGGAGCATCTGTTACACAAGGAGAGGCCAGGATAGCTGGGGCTTCTTGAGAAGAGAAGGCTCAGGGCAAATCTTATCAATCTGTATAAATGTCTGATGGGCAGGACTGAAGAAGATGGAGCCAGGCGCTTCTCAGTGGTGGTACCTGAAGGGAAATGATCACAAATTGAAATACAGAAAATTCCATTTAATTGCAATAAAAAAACTATTTTGCAAGGATGGTCAAAAAGTGGAACAGGTTGTTCTCAGACCTTGTGTAGCTTGTATATCTCCATCCTTGGAGATGCTGAAAACCCTACTGAACATGACCCTTCGCAATCTGCTCTTGTTGACCCTGGTCTGAGCTGAGGCATTGGACTCTGCAGTCTCCAGACGTGCTGTCCAGCTTCAGCTGTCCTGTGAGGAGCAAGTACTTAGTGTGAACAGAAATTATAAACATTTAAAATGCTTACTACTTTGATCGTATCATTTAGACTGCATCATACACATGCTATAGCTCTCCAAGACGTTTTAAGTATTACGAATGTTGTATTCATTCTGCAGTAGTGTTTTTTGTCATTATGTAGTGCATTGGAAGCCCCTCTCCTTTATGAACAGAAATCAACACAATTAAACATCTTATCAGTAGAAGTACTTTAAAGCTTCCATTTGGCACCTATAGGGAAAGTTGTCTTTTGCAGAAGTTGGTCTGGAAGTTTGCTCATGTGTTTGAGAGAGCAGCTAGGCTCATGAATCAGTCTATTTTATCTATTCTAAAAGTATGAAATCATGGCTCAAGAGGCTTACTAGTTGTTCTTTCCCAAAAGATAAAAATGGAATATGAAGTCCTAACTAGCAGTTATTTTAAGAAAAAAAAGATGTGGCTATGCATTTATTCAGACTTTTTAATAAGTAATGGCCATATTATATGAAGCCAACTACCCTGCCAGGTAGAATTTTTGTCCCTATTTAAACTTTTCTTTAAAAAAATGTGATACTCTGTAGCAGACTCAAACTGTTGAGTCCTATTAGGTCCTGCAATGTGTAGTAGATTCCACTTGAGACTTGTTTGATGACTATGATCCAGATGCAGAGAAAAGAAGCTTCTTTGGATGACATTGCTTTAGAGAATGGTATCGTATTTTCTATGGGACTGTAGTAACTCTCTTATTTATCACCATGCAGGGCTGTATGAGTACATTTTGAGAGCTTTAATTCTTTACTTGTTTTTAAGCAGAGGCTAGAATTGTTCCTGATTCATAAAGGAAAATTAGTAGATTAACATGCCTATATCCAAGGACATAGGCATACAGACTATACTAATATACTAAATGACTAAATGATTACAGACTATGCTTTAAATTTCAATATTGAGAAATCAGCTTTTTCTCCCCCCTCCCCTCCCTTGTATTTTGAATATCACATTAGCAATTAAACAAAGCAACTATAATGCTACTACTCTTTTCCACCTTTGCAAAATCTAAACCACATTTTAACCATGCTGTATATTTTAACAGGACCAACTGAGAGTGGTGTAAACAAGTGTATCTTTTCCAGAGACACCTAGTAATAGTAGTGAATTCAAGTAATAATAATCCTCTGCATTTCAGCATTACATGCTTCAAAATGCTATGAATCGTATTCTCACAGTGTGTGGAATAAATAGTGATGTGAGCACATTCAGGAAAGCTTTAATAATTTTGTGTTTAGATCTGTAATGAAAGCAGAGGAAGATGGCCATGGCGTGCAACCAGAGATTTGTAGATACTTTGTTGTAGGCTGTTGCTAGATATGTTATCTTTCAAGGGCAGAATATTTCTGCAAAGGAAAGTTGCGAAATCTGCCAGAATAAAAAGATTGGCTGAAAAAGTGCAGGATCTCCAGTGTGTGGTCTTCATTATGTGGTACCAAATACAGGCTGAAGTGTGTAGTTCCTTTGTGGTTTGCGTTACATCCTCTTTGCAACAGATCAGATCTTTGCATATCATCAATCATAACCGCTGCCACTGTGCAAATACCCTAGTATGAATCCTAGTGTGTTGAAAACTGTTGGTATGCTACTTTAGGGAAGTATAACTGCATAGTCACAGTCCTGTTTTCCAAAAGACCAGAAAGTTCACAGTTTCTTGAAAAAGAAGGAGGTGTACTTACAGGCAAGGCAGTGGCTGACTACCTGTAGTGTAACATAGTTGTTTTGTTAGCTTCGGTAAGGTCAAACATCTTGTGAGTTAAGAATGGTTTGTTGGTAATTTTAATAAATTTTCCTGTGATGCAGTTAGGTATTTAATCGTTTTTTTCAGACATCATGTTGAATCTATGTTCCAAGGACAGAACTTATTTTAAGTGGTATGCAGAGCTGTCCTTTATTGCTAACTGGACAACCGTATCTGCTGAGTAAAGTTTGGTATTCCTTCTGGAGAAGTATTTATATATTTTGAGGTGAAGTGTTCTGTAACTCTTGCAGATATTTTGGTCCTCCTTGCTAAAACTTCAAGGCAGATGTCACAGTAGAAATTGTCAGGATAAGCAGAGTTATAAACTGTAATAGTCTTTATTGAATAATATTAATAATTAAAATACACCATTAAGAATCAATTCCTTGGTCATTGCACTTTTCTTCCAGCAAACCCAACTCTTCCAACTCTTTTTTTTTCTTTTTCTTTTTTTTTTCTGCCTGTGCTCTTCACATTTTCTTTTTCAGGCCTTGATGCCTCCCTCTCTCTCTGTCCTTGAGTGCTGTCATCTGGAATTTCACAGTGATTAAACAATGTGTTGCCCTTGCGATGCTACTGTTCTCTGTGGCCTCTTGAACTCTAGTATTTTCATCTTCTGTCTGATTCTCACTGTTTTTATGTGAGAGGCTTACAGATCTGGGTTCTGCTACCACCACTTTGGCTTCCTTGATCCCGAAGAATGTTTCTTTTGTCTCATTTGAAGCTTAGGATTTTTTTGCTTCTGATTTCTGTTTCTTAGTTTCTTACTCATTTTAGTTACAAGCCTTAGGGGAGGAAATCACAGTTTTGTTGCCTAACTAGTCTAAGAATATTGCCCATAATACACTGTACAGAATTTCATCTGCTTTTATTCCTGTGATGGAACTCTTTCAGTAAGTTCGTCAGGTCTTTCTGTGGCCTTCTACTTCAAGGAAGTAATTAGAAACAAACAAAATTATAAATATAGAGAAGAATCTGACCTCCCTGTTGCCCTTTTAAAACCTGTTTTGCAAATTTATTTGCTAAACATTTGTTTGTTTTGCCAATGAACAATTGAAAAAATGATTTTACAAGTTACTGTAAGATTTGAGAGTCTCATAACTAGGTTGCTGCAACACATGTGTCAGTCTTCTGTGCACCATTATGTTATTTTGCACAGGTTGTGGTTTAGTTGAGACTCTTATGGGAAAGACTTTGTGGTTGCTGTAGTTCAGATTATACTTCGGTGATATCATTACCTGTATGGTAAGCATCTTTTTTGCTGGGTCATGCAAAGTATCGAAGATTTTTCCTGGCAATATGTTTTGTAAAGTTTGACTGAGTCTTGCTTTATGTGGTAGGAGTAATGAATGTTCTTCCTTTGGTAACATGTTCATTATCTAATGAATGTGCCTAATGGGAAACGTTGAGAGAGAGTCAAATCTTTTTATCATATTTATTTATTCTTCAAATACAAAGTGTACAACAATATTTTCCCCTTTTAAATAATCCTTTTGCTCTCGCTTAGGGGGTTTATGGTTTTTTGATGCTTTTCCTTATGTTCTGGACTTCCCTTGAGCAAGTAAATGACAGAATTTTTTGCAGGTGTAAGTCTTAAATAGTATATTGCTGCATCAAGAAAAGTGACCTTACAAGTATCTATGTACAAGTGTGGACTTACAGAGGTTTAAAAGATTTTAGGTTAGGCCTCCATATTGGTATTACCATAGTGCCTTCCTACTTTGCTCTTTCCTCCTTTCTCCTCCTGTTTGGGCTGCAGTTACTGGTGATGGTCTACAGTCCATTTATTTGGTTGTATTTGTCCTTCACTTTTGCCTTTCCTTCTCTTGCCTACTCAGTGTCTCTGTTATAATTTCTCCACTGTTGCCTGTCTTTAATTTCTACCAGTATCTTATCCTCTCTTGTATTATCTGTTGTTCTCATCTTTGTTCTTTTC